TCCAAATTCCTCTGGTAAATTTTGTCTTCAAAGTAATGTTTAACGCTAAAATGCAGGATCTCAAAGAAAAAATTGTAAAAAAAGATGGCTACTTTTTCACTTTCTGTATCAAGAGCACTGGTCGCTTCATCCAGAAGGAGTATTTTTGGATTTTTTATAATCGCTCGTGCAATCGCAATTCGTTGTTTTTGGCCTCCAGATAACTGATTTCCTTTCGAACCAACTACCGTATCATAGCCCTAAAATTAGACATTTGACGGAAACCAAAAGAAAGTGTTTTTTTTGGCTGACCAATTTGAAGCACGCGTAAAATTTTCTTCTTTTGCAAAATTATGACAATTTTAAAATTGATTTTAGTTTTAGTTGGGTGCTAAATTATCAGTTAAAGAAAACTGACATTGTTATTTAATTGGAAAACTTATTTTAGAAGTATTGGAGAATTTTCAAGGTTACAAGCTTTTTTTATGTCGATTTGAGTTAAAAACAGTAGTGCAAGGTAAGAATTAACATTTGTTTAATAACAGACTTAAAACACTTATTAAGCTCAAGCAGGCTTGTAAGTGCTGTTCCAAGAGTGAAATTTAAACTTTGTTTTTAGAATTTATACAGAGCGACTTCAGTGAATTAGCGGATTCTAACTATTCTATGCCATGTTATCATGTTATCAAAGCATTCAATAATAATTTAGTTTTAACACCTTAACTAAACATATGGTTGTACCTGTGGCAGGGTGATAATGAAGCCATGGATGTTGGCTAGCTTAGCTGCTGCCTCAACATCTTCCTGTGCCACATTTTCCATCCCATAAGCAATATTATCCCGGATGGTGATATTAAACAGAGTCGGCTCTTGGCCCACCAAAGCAATATTAGACCGTAAATGCCGGATGTTGTAACTTTTAATGTCCCGACCATCGATCACCTAAAATTTTAGTAAAGGCTGATCAAAAGAAAACAGTTTGATTCTATCCCTTAAAGAACGCTGCTTTCAACATCGCCACCCGGCATAAATATGAGACTTTAAATGGTACTCGGAACTATCAAACATTCGAGAGTTTTTGGGAAGCGGTTCAGTGGACTAATGAAAGTTTCAAAATACATTTTAATTTTAAGACATGAAATATAACAATCTTAATCAAAAACATGAGTAGCAAATGATTGCTTAAGTTTTTTCGAAACTAAATTTTGTGCCAGAGACAACTTGAGTTTTTGATGGGATTCGCAAATACTGTTTTTTAAGGAATGATCATCCTCACGGGCTCTAGGTTTTGTCGCCTCTTTCAAACATCATAAAGTGCACATGAGTTGACAAATTGGTGCTCGCCTACGCAGGAGAAATAGACCCATCACTAGCTTTTTTCTAAGCAATTTTTGGAAGAGAGAGCCGTAGACAACCGTGTCAGCGAATGATTGCTGTTGCCAGTTTGCTGACACTTTTTCTCTGTGCTACTTTCACACCGGCCACTTGTGGGGGGACTTGATTTTGACGCTGCTCAAACAAATTAGAATTTTAATTATAAGCGATCCTAATTAAAAGATACCATTTTTTCACTAATTTGGTGCAAAACAAATATTCAAAAAATTTGGAAAGTTTTCTAAAGTTCTTAGTTATTGCTCCGAAAGATGCCGTATTTACTGCAATTTGGATCATTTTACAAGCGAACTAACCAATACACCGCCAGTAACATCGTAAAATCGTTCGAGCAACTGAATTACAGTGCTTTTGCCACATCCACTGGGACCAACCAGTGCTATAGTTCGGCCAAATGAGGCTGTTAGTGAAAGTTTGTTGAGTACCATCTGGCGACGGCACGTCGGATATGCAAATGAAACATCTTTTAGTTGGACATTCCCTTGCGCGGGCTGAAAAAAAAAAGAAAAATTTGACTTTTTTTCGAAAATGCATCTAAAGTGAGCAGGTACGCTGATGAAGTGGGCTTCCTGAAAGTTTGGATGTATGCATTAACGCTCAAACATAAACGAATGGCTTTCTGTTCACTTAGCCTCATTTTT